GTTGCTATAATAGTAACTTCATATCAGCATTAGATGATCTTTACAACGTATGTACTATTTAAAGGCGGGGTTAAAGATTAATGTTAAATAGAATTAATGCAATTTGGGAAGAAACTGCCTAGAACTCATTCTGAATTTCGAGTTCTGTAGTAAATTGCAAAAATAACAAGGTTTGGGACTTGAAAAAACAAAAAAGTCATTGTTGATAAACCCAAAGGGGAATGAAAATCACTGCCACTGCATGGACAAAGGTGTGGAAAGGACAACAACTACACAATTATTTGGCATACAAACTGGGTACCAAGTTTTAATCTATTTAAGTTCGTGAGTAATCCTTTCCTTGTGACATCGCTATAATGATAGGCCTATTCTTTCGCTCGGGAACACAACGAAAATAGGGAAGCTGTTTAAATAAGTCTTAACATCAGTTTCCTCTTTAAACTCTTCTATGTTGGATGTGCTACACAATGACCACTAAGCTCAATTTAACTTCACATTATACAGCTTACAAACATAAACTTAGACCGCATCTGTCATGTTCGGTTACCAAGGTGACCCTTCAAAGCCATTCTAAATGTGATTGATCATTGCTAACATTGCATCATCGGAACATCTAATATGATTATGTTTGGGGATGGGAAAAATATTCATGAGCTAATTACGGCCGATGATACAGGCCTCAAATAACCTGCCCTTTAATTTAATATGTTAATGGCTCTTCTCGACCACGGAGGGACTACAGCATAACTTCTCTCTCAGCACTATATTTCATTTTCTGCCCGAATATGCTTTTATTGGAACAAAAGTCTGCGAAGCGTGTTTTGAACCGTTGTGATTAATAGATTAATTATTGAAGCACTATTTGCTTCACAGCGGTCCACAAACTGTCATGGCGCATGAACCTTAATGCCGTTGGTGATCGCTTATTACACGGATGAAATCGTCAGCTGATGTAACAATGACCTTTGATCAAACAAAATGTCAGAGATCACTACGTCATAACAAAAATATTCAGGCTATATTGGCAGGCGATGCGGACCTCTAGAAAACCATCAACATCCTGTCACTGATGTTGATGTTCCTCTAGGGGGATATAATCTACTGCTCCACCGTTAAATGTACATTATCGTACCTAAGCCAATGTGAATTTACAATTTTAGTTATCCTTTTTCCTATATCTACCTTCAAAGGAAATAATACTGATGTTCATAATAATGTTTTTGTGCTTCCTCAATTTTACATAGGTTGATTCAAAAATTGTCATGTGATAGATAGTTCTATTCGTTTCTTGTATACTTTCTTATACAGAATTGCGATTGGTTTCACACTCTGGTTGAGTTTCGATCGATTTGAAAGAGTCGGAACTCTTCGCATTAAGACGGGACCTTGTATTGAAATATCATGTCACACGCTGTAATCAAACGTTCCATCATTATACCATCAATTAATCGCACAACGCCCCGTCACTATCTTTCGGACCCTCTAGCCTCTTCCATTGTGCCATGTGACATGCTGAAAGCCCAGATATGCCGACACAATAGAATGTATAACATATGACTCATATAGAAGATCGTTATCTTATCTTCGGTGGCACAGCATGAAGCCATGTATATCGAAGCTGTGAGTTATCGTGTTGCTATTCTTATTGGCGTGTGCGGTATAGGTGTAAATCATGCATTAACCACACCCTTTACCAGAGTGACGCTATCGTAAAAATACGCCATCGTAAAGAAAAAAGGTCAGGGGCTGAGAAAGGGTAAGGAAAGAGAGATTGTATTTTATCTTTGGTGGCAGGATATCATAGCACGAACGTGTGAGTTATCAGTATCATGATGCCTTTCTTGCTGGTGTGTCTTGGACCAAGACCTTGTAGTCCCTGCTTGCACTTGGAGTAGAAATATAGATGTATATTACATGAATGCCAAAGCACAACATAATTATGAAATAAGTTAGTCGCGGATAGGGAATTTCGCTGCAGGCACATATAGCCTTTTCTTCCAAAATATAATAAAACCTTCGATTTTCTACGGATTGTCATTTTTTTCTCAGGCCTTTTACTTCACTGTGATTTTTTTTAAAAGTCACCCATCTGTTTTAAATGCTTTACCATTCACCATCCTATGATTTAAAATATTAGTTTATTAGAATTGAGAGTATGGTCTAGCACGGTTCAATAGTCTTCAAAACATTAACTTATTAATTTACTGCCTACTTTTAGATTCCAAGATAAGTTACATTACAAAGCTTAATTTTGTGCAATACATAATATATTCTAGTAAAAGGGTTATTGTTGTTATTATCATCACCGACTGCACAAGAGGCAGTGCACATTTGCAAAGAATAATTATCATTTGTTAAAAGAAATATTTCCCATCAAAAAAGGCAGATCATAATATAGCTTTTTTTCCTAAATAAACATGACGTATATCACTATGTCCAATGATGAACACAAGTCTGTTTTTTTTTTTTTAAGTTTGATATACTATAGCTGTGATATATTTGAGCTTTTCTCTTCCGGTAAAACTAATTTCATGAGAACTATTAAAGAGAAACACTAAACCGAGTGACAAACAAATCTCATTAGTCTGGACACATTTATGACATGGCCGCTTTGCATGCTTCGAGAGAGCTCATTGCAAGACAGTGGCATACCCAGAAATCGTTTAGCAGGGGTTGGTGCTGGGATATCCATTCAAAGGGGAGGCAAAATGTTCTTTGGCATACCCTTCGAATATCGTAGGCACTGAAGTACTGTCTTTTTCCTTTGAACAAGAACGTGGGGATTATATCCGTTCCGTTCAGGTGCGCCACATCACCAAAACCAAATATCATACATACATGCATATTTTTTTAATGGGAAAAGCCATAGGCCTATCTAGTCTAGATCGAGGGGTCTTTGGTTCAAGGTATAGATGCATTTAAATGGACCGTATTAAATGCACAGTCAAATAAGAAAATATACGCACGAATTATTTTAGAATCTTTAGATAAATTCTAAGGAATTATACAATGTGCTTCTTTAAACTCCTTGTTACTGGCGCGCATTCCTAAATGTACTAATTCCTCTTCCGAGCTCGTTACACATTCACGGAGGAAGAGAAAAAATGACAATGCGGGCATTTTCGGATTGAAATTGCTTGATGAAACCTAAAGATAAGTATTCAAATTTTATTCATGCATGTGTGAACACAGAGGAAAATTAAAGCTATCTGTAAATGTCACGCGCTGCAGGCGTTCATATGTCTCTCCTCGCGTGGTAATTACCTGAGCATGTGTTAAACGGGATCTCTGCCCCGATGGCGTCTCAAGGAAAGTCCCGGACAGGGGTTGAGCGGGGCATGGTCAACTCGATTAGGGGCGGTTTTAGGAGTCTGTAACGGGGAGAGGGGTGGCGCGCAATGAATCTCTGAACATCGAACAAAAAAAAGGACTGTTATCACATTTTGCAGGTACCTTCATAGGGAGAAAGTGAAAAATCTGGATTGGTATACTTTTCTGCATACGATCGGCTGGCAATTTCTTTTTTTTTTTTTACTTCTTGCGGTTTATCTGTGTCATGCGGGATTTCCCAGATGTTCATTATAATTTGTTATATACTTTCACTCCTATTATCTGGGTTATGAAGCCCATTAAATTATTTAGGAACTTCAGTCTCAACACGCAAAATGATATCACTGCGCCATAAATTGGTAGAAATCTTGAGTGTTTCCTCAGATAACAGTACTTTACAAGTACCTCAATTATGTAGAACGTATAGTTGATTTTTTTTAAATTATTCAATAAGTTTGTCAGGAATAATTTGTTTGTTTTAATAGTTGATTTTCTTTTACTACACTAAGTCTGTCAGGAATGAAGCAAGCAAAGAAATATATGCTAATGCACATATGCTACACCTTTGAAGTCTCTATACAATCTTTGTTTGCATTGTTAGATCTCTGGTATAATCGTGTGATGGGAAATTTCTAATAAATGCTAGAAATTCATGCCCCCAAAATGAGTGTATCAATGCTCCAAGTAGTACACAAAATCATCATATACAGAGGGTGTTGATCGAAACTTATTGTATAGAGATTATTAGAATTTATAAGAATGTTAGAAATTAACATTGCTGACAATATAAACAATAACAAAAATATACATTTCTCTACCGAACTTTGTCAACGAGGGGAGGAGGGGGCCATCCGTTTACTCCCTCCTGCATTACCCTTTTAACATCTTAAATCTTACATTAGCATCCAATTTCATCTATGGAAAGTGAACAAAACAACAAAATAAAACGCAAAAGTAATTATAGCATTGGCAAGGAGTTTCAATGAAGATATATCTTATGTTTCGTTCGTCATGTTTTACATCTCTGCTCACTAATTACCACCACCATGTCAATTAGAGGAGTACGCGTAAAAACGCAATGGAAATAGCGAACAGCTGGAAAGAACGATGAACGTGAAAGGAAAAATGAAAAAATACAACAGCCTCCATTGCACTACATATCTAATAAACAGGCATTAAAATAATAAAATCCCCAGCCCCTATGACGGTACCCAAGCTGCGCTTTTGCTCTGGTTGCTATTTTTTATTCTCCTATTCCTAAAATATTCGTCCCATCTACCGTTACTTGGGTAACAATGTCTGTTCCAAATGGAAGGCGTGTTCATTCCTTCAATTTCTCTCATTCCATGCACTGCTCCATCTCTCCATGACTCCATCTCTCCCCCTGATTCGACTCTCCGCTGCATTTTTGGTCGCCATTAATACACAATATTCACCAATATGCATTAGTGTATGCGTGCCCTGCAGCATGCCCCAGCCATTCCTCACCTTCGGAATGCATTCCACCCCCCCCCCCCCCTATACCCAAAGAGAGTTTAGAAGTAAGCCTCTGCCACGTTCAATTACACACGGAATGTGCCATTTCTCAACGACCATAGATGAGGAGCTATCCCGCTTGGTTACGAAACGTGTGATTGTAATCCTACTTTATTTTATTGATACATCTTGTCCTTCCGTGTATTTTGCAGTTTAAGAAGGCATATTATGTCCGTTAACCGGTGTTATGCGATGCAGAGAATATCAACAACAAAAAAGGAGCGATGAAGCCTAATTCTTTGGTTTCTGTTTCATTGTGACGAATGCACACCAAAGAACCGTGGAAGAGGGGTTTGTAGGATAGAAACTGCAGACTTTCTACACCTCCAATTTTTGAGCTATTTATGCCAGCTCCGAAAAAGGACCCTTGTGAAAACTGTGCGGAGGAATTATTACTGCATCTTTAAAAAGTTGGGAAGGAGTACATTTGAGTCCGGGGTGCAAACGAAACATAATCCTTGTCGAATAGATCTCACTATTCATTCAGCGTCAGTTTTTTCGATTGGTATCTCTTCGACATCGCTGATGTCTGCGACAGCGGCTGCGACTGTTCATCACAGTCAGGTTTCTAAATGACAGGGATGCGTCTCTCCTAGTTCATCCTTCCTTTGAAAGCTCCAGGTAGTTAAGGTCACGATTAACGTTGCGATAATCGACTGCGACAGGCGCATGTTGGTTCAATCACGGGACCGTGCCTGTCAAGCACACGGATATTTTGGTATGAAATATTGGTGAATGCAACGCAGCGTGACAAAATTACCAGATACAGGCCCGCCATACCGAATTCATCTCAGTCACGATGTTAGATGAGGTACCGTGAAGGGCTTGGGGATATTGCTGATTCTGTTTTCTTACCGCCATTTGTAAGGGGAACATTCATCACTTGGACATCTTGAATTCCTTTCGCTTATATTTTGCTTCCGTCACTTAATATTGTCCATTTTGCTAATGAGGACTCGTTTACGGAGCCAATAGATGAGATTCTTTAAAGATTGATGGAATTTGTTTTACGCAAACTGGATAGTGCTTGTCCTGCCCTCTCACAGCTAATTGGTGTCATTAAAAGTGTTGGTTAAAGGGAGCCCCCGAGGTAGCGCATACAACATTCAAAATGGTGGATTGTGGTAATCAACAGAACCGTCGCATCGCGTTGTTCATAGTCTTACTCATACTCATTCTCACGGTGGCCATCATCACGATAGTGGTCATATCGTCCAACAATGTATCGTCAGGATCATCGTCGCCTTCGTCAGGAATGACGACTGTGTCATCGTCACATTCGGAAGTGGAGTTATTGCAAACCACACCCTCGCCGGAATGACGAAGCCCCCTGACGTCACGATGGACCAATTCAATGAGTAGGCGCAGCTCAGTGTTAACCAGTCTAAACGACCCAAACAACATTCTTAACTCGGTTAGCTTAGACAACAGTCTGCTTATATCAAGGCTCATCAAATTAAATTGAAAATCTAAAATGTTGACCTTTTTTTTTCTTCTTCAAACTGTGTATTTACATGGGCCAAACATGTGAGCAAACCAGAGTCGAAGTTAACCGAGTAGAGAATATTCCCGTAGCCAAGCATATTATTGTCTGTATATCTATCACTTTATTAGGTTAAAGATTAAAGTGTATTTCTTGGTCATGTACAGTATTTTTAATGATATCCTATATATTTTATAACATTTATACTTTCTCGAGGCTACCTTGGAAGTCATTTCATGTCATAATATTCTTATGTGAGTATGTAACACGTAGATATATCACTTTCGTTTTGATGCAGTGTAATATCAATGCTTGTCATCATACATTCCTCCCTCGCGTGCCATTCAATTTTGACTTCCATTAAGAATCGTAAAGCCCCCTCCCCTTAATGCTGTTATCCAATTCCGGTTTGTACGTGATTCTTCTTCAATGAATCTGTGGATATAATAGTGCAGAGGCGCAGGGAGGTTTATCATTATGGGTAGAGAGAGAGACAGAGAGAGACAGAGAGAGACAGAGAGAGACAGAGAGAGAGACAGAGTATGTGTGTGTGTGTATGTGTGTTGTGTGTGGGAGACCCCCTCCCGGTTAAATTTGTCGACTCTTGTAGCGCAGTAGAATATATACCTAATGTTGGATAGTTTCTGCGCTTTATAAATGTACTATTATTAAATACTGATAACGCTTTTCTTCTGCCTGTACGTAAAGCAAACTTTAGAAACTCTTTTAGCATAAATTTATGAGCGATTTGAATATTCATCTTTGTAAGTAAAAAATATCGCATGTTGGTAAATCCTCTGCAAACTTTGTGGTAAATATGCCGACACCCCAACTCTTTGCAAAATGGTCTGGTAAAGCGCCAAACAAGAATTAGCAGATTGACTCCATTTTTTTGTACTGTTTACCATCGAAACAACGTGTTTTTTGGCCCTACATTTCGTTCAAATTTACTAAATTATTCACTGCCTCACTAAAATTGTTTTGGAAAAAATAGTGAATAAAATAGGTTCTTCCTAAAAATGGGTAATCATTGTTTTGTTTGTTTGTTTGTTTGCTCGTTGTTGTTGTTATTTTATGTGCCCTTGTTGGAATTTTGTTCAATATCAAATGCCCTCTTTGCTGAGATTTTAAGATTATATTTCCGTACAGTACTGCACTGTCATTGGCATAGTAACAAATATAACTCAAGTATGTATGCAATCTACAAAAAGAAGCGATTTAAAAAAAAAATGATAGGTAGTAAACGGAGAGTGTCCTCACGTACCAAGCAAATTCACTTGAGTAACATTCCCTCGGGCCAACGACAACAATCCAATTAATCAACATAATATTATGTGTACGCCTTGCATTTTATGCGTGGCCAACTGGCATTGATACACGGTCAAAAACACAGTATGATGGTTCGCGGAGATTTTTGAAAATATTAGAAAATGTGATATTCGCCAAACTCTGTCTATAATTTCTCATATTCTAAACAAATGTATTTATGTCAAATATTATCAAATGGACGGCAAAGGGTTTTACTAGAAAATTTATTGTCAAAAGATTCCGGAAATATCGCGATCTAAAAATTCGGTGTCGGATAGGCGTTCGCGCTGCAAATAAAAAAAAAGTCATAAAAACTTCCCGCACGGGGGTTTACAGCTGATTTATCAAAAAATGCGATCCATCAAACATAAGGTAATTTCATAATTTGCAATGCAAGATGTCATACAATCATTTGGTGTAACTTTTTACTTACAATTTTGGTGATATCCGCTCTCAAAATTAAGATTTTCAGACCGTTATCGGTAAGTTCATAATTTTTTAGAACGGACGCAAATGACTGCAAATTTTGCCGACCTTTTGTCAATAATTCCACACCCAATTCCAAAGAAAATTTCGTCTCTTGGTAATCTTATGTTCCTCTTTCCATTGGTGATATCACATTTTCGAGATAGCGAACTAGGTCACGCGCGGACTATGCTCACACCACCATACCGTTATTTCAACCAGATACGTAAAAAGTGTAGAAAATGAACAAAGTACTCACAAATTGGACATTAAATTCGCTTATAATCCAAAGTTCTCCCGCTATAGTTTCGATATTATTTTGCTTGGTGATTTTGTTTTGTAAGCTCTATTTATTGAAAGAAATAGACTTGCTCAGTTGCATAAAGATCTTTTCGAGGGAAGTTTTTATCAGCTTTACACTCCAATTCTTTTCCATGGAGTAACTTCATAAGTTAACGTAATAGTTTTTTCTGTAGATGGTGGTTTTCTTTCTTTTTTCCCGTCTTTTTATATTCCTCTATGATCATGTGGTTTTATTTTTTGTTGATGGTGTTGGGGTACTTTATGCGATAATCTAATGTCATTTCCTTTACGACTTAATGAAGACTGTTAAATATTCTAATGTTTTTTAATGTGACGTGTATACAAAATAGTGTACAAATATTGACTTCTTAAAACTATTGCCAAAGGCGTTCTCGGAACTGTACTGTGACCCAAAACGAAGTCGGGGGCATAGTGCAGGCTCGAGACAACCAAGGAGGTAAATTTTTAATATCAATAGTTTTTTTTTTATATACAGCATCCCCCGTGTGAATCCCTAACTGAAAAAAATATATATATATAAAACATTATGCCTGTTTTGTATTCGATAGTTATTGTAGGGAAAATTACGGGTGTCTTGACTGCGCGTTTCCATTCGTCACTTTTAACGCTGTACTGCCTAGCAGTCAGCAGCAAATTTCATGCCTACAGTTTTGACCAATCAGAGGCCCTGAATATTCTTATGCGTAATAATGAGAATAAATTTAGAAGAAAGCACGATTTTCTCCTTAAGCTAACGTTACGTTACTTTTCCCTTTAATACAGACGATAACAATTATACTGTTTTTTAAATGTAATGCCAATAATAATATGTGATAAGAACGCATATTCATCTTCTTTATATCTCTTTTTCTTTGACAGATACCCAGTGTTCGTCTTTTTCATCACTTAACGCAGACGACACTGATTCTCTATTGGTTACGCCCACCAAGCTCTCACGATAGGGACCCCAGCCCGGCGCAGACGTAACATGACAATAGCTGCCATGGAGACGTCTGCATCCTTGCTTGGTGGTAGTGACGAATACTCCTACTCCTACCGGGTCCGAGACCGTCGGAGCATCTCTGGCGCCAGTACTACCCCGTCCTCAACGTCAACTGGCAGCTCGTATTCATCAACGACATCATCTACGGCACCTTACAGCAGTTCATCTAGGCCTTCGTCTAGCTACGGCACTTCTGGTTCGGGTTCTCACACTGTTGCTCTCGCTTCGATGCTTGCAGGGATAGAGGTGGTTGGTGACAAGCAGCAGGCAATCATCGAACGTCAGGGGAGCAAAGCAAAGCTACGTGCTAAGCTCGAGCCGCAGGATTCTCTGGATAATTTCCCTGACAAATACAAATTCGAGGACAATAAGCACGTTTCAGAGGTAGTTCATGGACTCAAGTCATTGTACGAACAAGGGGCTTTGGTCGATGTGACATTGATTGTTGACGATGAGGAATTCCCGTGTCATAAATGCGTGCTGGCCGCGAGCAGCCCGTACTTCAATGCCATGTTCACGACGAACCTAGCAGAGAGCAGACAAAGTAAGATCCGTTTAATCGGTATAGATGCACCTTCAATGCGGCTTATCCTGGACTATGCCTACACCTCACAAATAGAGATCAATGAAGATAATGTGCAGGGACTTATGCTTGCAGTCAATATGTTCCAGATGCCAACATTACGCGACGCGTGCGCACGGTTCCTGGAGAAACACATTACTGTCTCCAACGCAATCGGTATCTACTTCTTTGCTGTCGCACACAACTGCGACAAGCTCGAGGAGCTGGCCAAAACTGTGGTTATGGACAATTTCATCGAAGTTTGTAAAGAGGAAGAGTTTGTCACCTTAGGGAAAGACAAAGTTATCGATATTATTGCGAGAGATGAGTTGAATGTAGACAACGAGGAAGTGGTTTATGAAAGCGTGATGGCTTGGGCCAAGCACGACCCAGATTCGCGTCGAGCAGACCTCGCTGATGTTGTGTCTCACATTCGATTTGGACTGATCAGCCCATACTACATCCATGATGTCGTTGAACGCGATCGCATCGTGTCGCATAACAAGGGTTGTCAACAGATCATCGATAGCGCGTTACAGTATCATGTTCTACGGGATCGTCGCCAGGATCTGGACATGACAAAGGTCAACACTACCGCGCGAAAGGGAATGCCATTCGCAGACATGTTTGTCTTCCTTACCAACATGAGTGAAATGCTAAGTGATATCAAGCAAACCACAGCCTACCGCGTTAAGGCACTACCCGAACTGATGGACGATGCCGAATGTGTCATAACCGGTGAAAACAACATCTACACCATGGCGAAACAGCCCACCGAATATAGCGGGCGACGTTTATATTCCAATCGCAGAAGCGGTCTCTTTCTCTTTGATCAATTTGAAAAGAAATGGTTACCGCGAGCCGCGATGAACGTCGGCCGTTGTAACTTTAGTCTGGCGGTATTGGACGGTCTGATCTACGCTGTCGGGGGTTGTGATGGTGACGATACTCTTTCTAGCGTCGAGTGTTACAATCCTGCCACCAACATCTGGAAGCAGACGTCCCCAATGCCACAGGCTGTCAGGTTCGGTCATAAAGCCGTTGCCGTAGGAGGGCGATTGTACTGTATCGGTGGAGAGTCTGAAGATACGGTTCTTGACGCTCTTTTCTGCTTCAATCCTCGCCTTGATAGTTGGGACACGGTTGCCAACATGATCCTACCGCGTACTTGCGCCAGTGTTGCTGTGACGAATCGGGAAATTTACGTCATAGGAGGAAGCGTAGCGATGGGTGAGGTAGGTCCAGAGAACATGCTCAAATCGGTCGAAATCTACAACCCTGATAATAACGAGTGGCGGTTCGGACCAGAGCTCCCAGAAGGAAGGATGTCTTTCGTCACAGCAGTTTTAGGCGGCACTATCCACATTTTTGGCGGAGAAAATGGACTGGAGGACTGCGAGGCGAAGGTCTGGAAGCTTGAATCAAACGCGACGGAATGGGAAGAAGATAAGGGCACGTGGCCACCTATAGCTGCGCCATTTTGCTGTCTCGTCGCCAGAATGTCCAAAGATAGCGAATAGAGAAAACCAAAAAGAAGTGACTCATTTGATCACATACTGAGGCGAGCAATAATATCGCACCATTTAGCATGAATACTGCATAAAAAATGGTGTTATTCAATTTTGTGCAATATTTTAGATGAATGGTACGAACGTTATTGTTTGCATCATTGTACATCGTTTTGTTGAATCAAGTTGATAATTCCAAATAAAAGCCCCCATTGAAAATATGGTACTATGAATGCAAATCTGATGTCTGGTGCTACACGAATGCATTTACTTATGGCGGAAGGAAAAGAATATTTACAGTTTCAGATCGAGTATACAAAGAAAGAATACTTGTGGAATACAAAACTGAATTGACCTATTACCCGAAGATAAGAAATAGAGCTCCAGTATGGTTTTCAATGTTTTTTATTCTAGGAAATATATCTTCACCTCACCTTAACGTTTCGAATGTAGGAACAAGTGACATATAGGAATAATTTTTCCTGATTTAATACATAATCAATGATATTATATTCATACTTGCATGCCCTTTACCGTTTTGTTCATTTTTTTACAGGAACAATACATGTTCTACATATTTGCGCTTTGTTGAGTCGCTGTTTTACAAAAGCATGGGTGTTTTTCTACAGTTTAGATGGCTTTTACATTAAAGATGTTGCACACTAATTGTTGTTCCTACTGCGTCAATCACCGGGCTAAAGCCCATAGGACGGATAGCCACCTAGACCGATAGCCCACGACAGCTACAATATCGGCTGTTAAATGGCCCACAAGACCGACAGGTACTGACAATTTTCTGTATCGTGGGCTACCAGTCTACTTGGATGCCCGCAATCAAAGACCTTCCTGCATTTAAATGCACAATGCTCGCCCAGACGTTGCATCTAGACACGGATATAATGTTTTGACTAATCACAAGAACAAGCTTTTATGGTTCGTCCGAAAATGGGCCATAACGGAACAATCACCCCTCTTTCTGTATCGGTGGGGGGGGGGCGGGCGTAGTAACATTCTTTTTTAATAGAACAGTTCACGGTTAGCACATTACTGCAATGACCCCGAATATTCACAGTCTTCGAAACATGAAGAGGTCCCACTTTGCACATTTTGAAAATAATCACTCCTACAGCGATGGAGGTGCTATATAAAGAGCCTTTGTTTCCCCTTTTCAAAGAATACTTCCACCTGTGTATCATGGAGTGCACTGTCTGTGTATGAATGATTACATAACTTTCATGAGCACGTATCCAGTATTTCGTCTCCGTGTATTTCAAAATTTGTTCTGCAATGACCTTAATCTGCTCATTGTGAGACTGGCAACCGTGAACTCGCTCATTTACTCAATATCAAATAATCAATTGACGCAAAGGAACATGTTTAAATGTGTTCTTTACCTTACCTCTAGTTCCATAATGCATTTCCACTGTCACACAAATATTTCCATGTACCGATTTAATTCTGCAAGCTATGTTTGTTAAGCAACCCAGTGTTCAATGTGCATATACTTATACTCCTACTTTAGATCTTTGACTGTAGACATGGTTGATAAGTGATTATAATGGCCGTTGCTTGAGGCGTTTCCTGCTGGCGTAGTCTTTGACGCTTTGAAATCGGCACCGTACACAATGGTAATGCAAAAACAACAATAAACAATTTGTGTTGATTAACTGGATCATGAGCTGTCTGCTTTCTTTTGCGTGCTGAGCTTGATAAGGTGCCTTTTGTTGCAGCGGACATAAGAGAACATTCTTGGAGGAATCAACGTTTATGATTTATAAAGTCCGACAGAATGAAGTATTTTGCAGGAAAAAACCCTAACATCCTATAAATGATGAAATAATACTGGTCACATGAAATATTGTTTTTGTTAATTTTGTCATAATACACTGACACACCTTGAATTCAGTACTACTAGGACAAATTGTTATAAATCCTTCACTAAAAGAAGTTCTATTCTACAGTCTATTATTCACCTTGGATGAGTATCATTCTATGTGGAACTAAATAATCCAATTCAACATTTGAAAGTTGACATTGTTCTTTATATAGTTCGCCTGCTATGATTAACACATCTTTGTTCATACGTAAAGCAGATTCACACTTGCCACTTGACAACGCCTGATGCGAAATTTACCCATTTATGCATGCCCTTTGTACACGAAGAACAGGCAAGGGGTATATGCGTTGCGCTATATTACAATGAAATTGTATATTTATTGGCCCATGACATGCGTTTATTCCCCCCCCCCCCCCCTTCCCCCTCTACTAGCGTGTAGGCCTGACGCAATTGAAATGATCGACGCCTCGTATTCAACGGGAACAAGAAATCTTGGTATCTGTCGGGCGTCGGGCGTTGGAAACACCGTGTGAATGATTCTTTTCTATGGCTAAGTCTTGGGGTTGCTTAACACAGAACAATACTCGGCAAGCAAGTTCGTTTGAACATAGGTTATATCGTAAATAACTAGACAGTTTACAATCGTTCGTGGCCTGACAGATCCAATTTGCTTATTTCAGAATGCAAATCATTCGGGCGTCGGGCAATTGTGGATTTCGTGATGAGGATGGAGGTTAATTTTAATTTTCCTGTTGTTTTCCTTTGCCTGGTTGGACAAGCACTCTTATATCCAAAAGATTATTGTAAAGCGTTAGATTGTTTCCTCGTGGATTTCAGTCAAGGATCACATGAATATATCTTGCACGATGATCAAGATCAGAATTTCGGGAATCTCTTCCCACAGTTTCCCCATAAAATAATAAGTCTGTTGAATGTTTTAAGAACGCAGAATGCACTCCTACTAATGAATGATGTCAGCTGGAGTGTTGTAAATTTGTAAAGCAGTAATAACAATGTATAAATATCAATGGATGTGCAGGCACAGAATGTACATGACTGCATGAAGAAAAGAAATCAGTGCATATTGGACCATGTTCAGTTTAGAAGTATATGATAATGATATCATTGAATGCTGATTGTAAATACAGGCCCTAAACGTAATATAATGCTTTGCTAAAAAAAAAAGTAATTTTGTATGTTTCAGATTAAATCGATCGTTGTTGCGACAAAAATTAGTGGTGTAAGCATATGTTTACGTAAATATATTCAAATGATTGTAGTCGATTAAAACGTTTTTTGAAGATTCTAACTTATTCAAGTGTGTAACTTGTTTTGAATGAGTACTGTTTACTTAGTTATTAAGGGCTTGAAAATAGTTTGTCTTAAAAGAAATTGATTTTTGTCCCCAAAAATTTGTCTACATTGCTTTAACCCGTTATCACTTAAGTTCATCGGGATAGGGTGGGGTACAAAATATAAGAGGGCACTTTTTTGTGTGATACCCCCCCCTCTTCCATTTCTCTCTAGCTCTCTCTCTCTCTCTCTCTATGTAAGTTTTTTTCTATCGCTACAGTCAAATCTGTCTATAGCGACCGCCCACGGGAAACACAGAAAGTGGTCTTTGAAGACAGGTTCCTTTAGTACATGTTTCAAAGAGAAACCATTCTCAAGGGAAACAAATCATGTTGTCTTTGTAGGCAGGTTTGACTGTATTACCATAATTATTTGTATTATTATTATTATTATTATTATTATCCTCATCATCACCATCATCATTATCATTATTGTTATCATTAATATTATTATTAATATTATTATTATCATTATTATCATTATCATTATTATTATCATCATCATAATCATTATTGGACTTGCGTGCCCTGCTTAGAATTCTAGGTCCATCAGTACTGATAGTAAATGCCCCCTTTGTTTCTATTAAAGGGCTAATTCCACAAAATATAGTTTCTTAAAGAATATGGACATGGGCAATGTCACTGACATGATTAAAACAGACAATGTGAAGGGCCAAACTATAAAGCAACCTTATCGTGCCACAATCGTTGTAAATAATTTTGAAAAGGAAAATTATTAGATGTATATATACACTTATTTGGTCACATTCGTAATAAGTAATGATAATAATGTTTTGTCCAAAATAATCTTTTATTGTTTTTGAAGCATCTTTACTTTGTTCGCTTGTACATCAAAATTGGTGACTCATACCTCCTTTTCCTTTTCACTACTTAATTGTCCGTAATTTGTTCTCTAATTTGTACTACCTTAATCACATTATCACATTAAAAGCTCACAACATAACTTATTGTAAACTATAGAGGGTCTCATTTCAAAATTTGCTAGTAGAAATCACAAAGAATCAAAAGCTTACGCTCGTCAGAGTTGAAGCCCAAATGAAGCCAAGCCAACGATGCTTGAAGCACCCAATGAGAAAACAAAAATTGCGCCCTCTTCTGATAACCACACCATACTATTAATTCCAGGCTTTTCTCGATATTCGTTACCAATTGTAATTTTTATTTTTTTATTCATTCAGTTATCTTTATTGAATTTGTATAGTTACTTTTGTTCATTGATTGATTAATTTTTCTTCTTACTTTATACAATTCAACGTTGCCTGACGATTCAACGATTCATTCCAAGGCGATTTTTAAATATCTTTTTCACTTTACTTATAATTAGTCTTAGACGACGGGTCAAAAACAAATCTAATCTACATTTCAACGTCTAGGCTCTGCCACTAAAGTTATTTCACGCAGACTCATGTGTTTTCAAGGTTTATTACAACTTTGTACGTCGTACCAGTTAATTCACTTTAATTGACTTAAAGTTCGAGTTTTTAATTGAGATAATTATCTCCAGGAGCTAATAATTGAACGTCAAAGTAGAAGACAGTATACGCTATAACGAAAAGTAGGTTTCATTGAATTTTGAGATATTCAGGTCAAAGGTTAGTTATGCCAATTAACTTAAAAATCACAAGATTTTATTTCGTTATCACGCTGACCGCACAATGACTTAATAACCAATTTTGTGTACCAGGACAGTTACCCCCTGGAAAATCGTCCACCGGAAAATTACCTCCGGATAACTAACCCCACGGATAACAACCCCCGGAGAATTACCCCCGGAGAATTACCCCCGGAAAATTACCCCCGGAAAATCATCCCCAGGAAAATTACCACAAGTACACTCACCCCCCCCCCCCCCCAGGACAACAAAGGGAAACCACCCCGAGGACCATCCTCCTCGGAAATTACCCCCTGCTTATTAAGGGGAAGTCCAATTTTTTTCGAGGGGCAATTGTCCTCTGGGGGTGGGGGTGATTATCCAGGGGGCGATTTTCAGGGGGTGTAATTGCCCTAAGGGATAGGTGTGATTGTCCAGGTGGGTAATTTCAGGGGGAGGAATTGTCCTTGGGAGGTAATTGTCCTCGGAAGGTGGGGGGGGGGGGAATTTTCCAGGGGGGAATTTTCAGGCGGTTAATTGTCCCGTTGGTAATTGGCCGGGGGGGGGGGGTGATTGTCCAGGGGGTAATTGTTCTCGAACCATAATTTTGAATTACAGCTGTTACAAGTATACATCATAAAAGATTAAAGACAATATTGAACTCAGGGTTCAAAATGAAATGTTTTATAAGCCGATTATTGACAAGGTATTCGTATGCACTTCGAAGTGTAATCCTTTGAAGTCAATTCGTAAAAATAGTACCTCTATATATCAGGTTAAATAGTAACATTCTTTCAACTACGATTAGTTAAGCAGTTAGGAATAATATTCAAGCGTATTAATTTAAAGCTTATGCCTAATACCATTTAGAAATTAGTGTAATGTGTTTTTCGACATCAATTCTTCATTTCACAATACTAATCGCTTTCTGTATTTTATTAGATTGATCCAAGCAATATTTGCTCGCCTCCAAATACAATTTACGAGCATGATCCATTTCAACTTAGAATATAAACACTTTAAAAATGCTCCAATGCACAGGATAAAAGAGCAATCTATACTAAAAACCACACATCAAAGTAAATGGATCTTCGGATCACGAAGAGGAAATTGAAATTGAAATCTGAATATTTTTTATTGAAGAAATTAATCGAGGAAATCAGAATAGAAAAAAATAATAAAGAAGATAATAA